TGTGGAGCTGGAGGAACACAGCAGGCCAGGCAGCATCAGAGGAGTAGTAAAGTTGACATTTCGGGTCAGGACCCTTCTTCAGAAATGGGGTGTGAATTGATAATGTGAATACACTGGAAATGGGGAGCATTTCTGAAGAAGGGTCCTGTCCTGAAATAACAAGGTTCAGAACAAGGTTCTGACCCTTCAGAAAAAGGGTCTAGGCCCGAAACGTCAGCCTTCCTGCTCCTCTGATGCTGCTTGGCCTGCTGTGTTCGTCCAGCTCTACACCTTGTTATCTCTGTCTACTCTTCCTTGCCCTTCCTTAATCTTGCGTGTTTCAATGAGATTGTGTCTCATTCTTTTAAATTCCAGAGAACATAGAACCAATTTACTCTGTTTCAGTTTCCTCATAGGACAACCCTCTCACCCCAGGGACAAATCTTGTGCTCAATTGTTATACTACTTTCAATTTTAGTATAGATATCTGTATACGGAGACTGACGGGTGACTTTGTAGAGGCTTATTAAAGTCATGAGGGCCTGGCTAGGGTGAATAGCCAAGGTCTTTCTCTTAGGGTGGAGGACTAGAAGGCATAGGCTTAATGTGAAGAGGGAAAGATTTAGAAGGGACTCGAAGGGGGTCTTTGTCACGCAGAGGGTGGTGCATGTTTGGAATGAGCTGTAAGAGAAAATGGTGGTGTAGGTACAATTACAACATTTAAAAGCACCTGGATGGGTATATGAATAGGAAGGATTTAGAGGGCTATGAGCAAAATGCTGGCAAATGGGACTAGGTCAGATTGGGATGTCTGGTCGGCACAGATGAGTTGGACCAAAGGGTCTGTTTTTGTGGGGTATGACTCTGTTCATCTTTGAAAGTAGCTTTCATAATGTGTTTCGTATCCAAAATGTCAGTTACCGTAGATCCCAGGTTTTCAAGCTGTATATGGAGTAATAGTAAATTGATATCTTTCAGCAAAAGGCTTGGAAGATCTATGATGATTAAATCTTACAGAAGATCAAATATTTCTGTGGCAAATTTAAGAAAATTTGTATGTTATCCAGGTTATTAAAACACGATGTGGATTTTAATGCATATTTTCTTTTAAAGTCTGTACAGCTTTGTATGGAAGTGATGAAGATATTTTAATCACTGCATCACGCAAATAAGTTGAAACTGTAAGTGGGTGCTTTTGCTGCAGTGTTGATTTACTCTCCTATGTATGATATTTTTTATTATCATCTCTTCCATGTAAGAGAGATGCTGCCTGGCGTTTTCCCCCAAGTGGGAAGGATCACTTACCGTAGGTTGTTGCTCACTTCTGCACAGTAAGCTCGGGAACAGTCATGGATTGAGTTTCCGACTTCCCTACTTGGTCACTGAATGTGAGATGAAAAATTACTGAATTAAATTTCCAAAATGGGAGTGGAAGTTGGAAATGAGAGAACATTCAAAACCAAAGAAATCATTAAATGAGATATTATCAAAAATATGTTTCTAGTGATTGTATAAAGTTTTTCTATGTTTAGTGTCCTAATATTTATATTTATGTATATATTTGCAGGTAAGACAGGCAACAAATCAGATTATGATGAACTGTGCCGATATAGATATCATAACGGCATCATATGTTCCTGAAGGTGGCGAAGGTAAGCATGATTTTCTTCTTTCCAGTTTTACTTCATTTCCTAGAAATGTAGCTCATCTATCAGGCAAGAGCATGATTGCATGATGCCAGTTGTATAATTACATTTAGTTCTCTGTGTACCTTATGTGAAGTTGATATGCAGTTTTCCAATTTAAACTTTATTGTATATTCAAAATCACACCGTAAAACATTGACTCCTCCGTTATGCTTAATAAAAACAGCAATTTGCCAAGGCTTTTTTGTCAGCTTTTTGCAAATCCATGACTTCTATCACCTAAAAGAACAAAGGCAACAGTCGCGTGGGATTCCCAACATCCGCAAGTTTTCCTCCAAATTACGATCATCCTGACTTGCAAATATATAAATTCTTCATTATTGGGTCAAATTCCTGCATCATCCTCCCTACCAGCACTCTGGATGTACTTGCACAAGATGACTGCAGTGGTTCCATAAGGTGGCTCTTCCCAAACATGGTTAATAAATCAGTGATTGCATTCGAAGAACAAATGTAAAGTGCTCCAAGCTCATTCACGGTTTAATAAATAGATAAACCTGCCCTTAAACTAAGTATTTTCAAAATTGGATCTAGCTGCTATAGTTTGGAAGTGTATACCTAGTTCTGCCCACTTGCAAATCTGACATCATAGCCAGTTTCAGCAGTACCAAGTTTCTGCCTTGTGGACTAACTACTAAGATAGCCCTTTTAATGTAATGAAATGTTCTAAATGCTTTATGGGAGCACTTTTTGAAAAAAAAAGACACTGAGCCACTGAGATTGGACAGATGTTCATAGAACCCACTAAAGTGCAAAATGATGGTTGGGTGCTAGAAGAATTGATGGGAGGCCCTGCGCCCACTTGGTGTTGGGTAAATTGACCTTTAGTAAGGTGGTGGGAAGGGCCAGGCACAGGATTCCTTTGTGATGGCAGTGAGATGCCAATTAGGCTCATTAACAAGTGACTTGAGAGCAATTACCTCAGAGTCCACAAGGATTTAATGGTGACTTAAGGATATAGTGGTGTTTGTGCAGGTCTTCTTTATCTCTTAAAAATCTGCCCACTGTTGGAAGCCACACTGCTGCCATTGCATTCAAAATTGCATTCAAAAACACCCTTCCTCCTACCCCTATTCCAGTGGTGCTGATGGTAACACCTTCCAAACTCATGACCTGTCACTTGGAAGGACAAATGATGCATAGGTACAACACTACCTGAAAGTTCCTTCCCAAGTCACACAATCTTTTGACTTGGAACACTTTCTTCACTGCTGCTGGATCAATATCCTGGAATTCTCTTCCTAACAGCTTATTGGGTGTTGCTACATGCCAAGAACTTCAGTGGTTCAAGAAAGCAACTCACCATCGTGTTAAGGGCAATTAAGCAAAGGCTATGATTGCTGATGTGGCCAGCAACATCTCATAAACTCATAATAATGAAACATAATAATAATAAAAACTCCTGGGAATGAGACTTCTACCTGACTGGGTTCTTGACCCAGTGGTAAATCTGCTATTCACTTAAGTGGCTGATTGCAATTAAACTGTTAGGCCCGCCATGGACAGATCTGGGGAGGGGGCTGAAGTGGTGGTCTGAAAGTTCCACTGGTTCTCCAACCAATGTGCAAGACGCTCATAACATCAACTAAACTCTGCCTGTTCACCTGAAGAATGTGAGCTATGGTTGAGTTGCCACATTAAATATAAATATATAAAAAGCAGGAAAAACGTCTGATCTCTTCATGGTATAATCTTCGCTTATTACAAAATTAACTTTGGACTATGATATAGGGGGATTGAACTGAACCTTAATTGTGTTACCAACCCAAGGTTATGGATTTCATTCTTGAGCCATCAGTTTTGCTAACTGCCTTTAGTTGCATTGCAGGTGTGGGGAGGAGAAGGAGGGTATGAAATTGTAAGGAGCATTCCAGCTGTGGGTTTTCTTTGTCGTGCGTGACAATTTGAATGGAGAACTTGTCTGAACGATGTATGTCCAGTAAATAAGGAACTTGTCCTGTCATATCTTATAAAATGACAACTGATAACAGTACTTAATTCTAGCATTAATGCCACCATGGTGTGTGTTTGAGAATATAGTTGCAGTTGCTAAAACCAGGCATTGTTTTCCAATTGGAGTTGTAATAAAAAGCGATAATTGTTCTATACAGCATGGTTATTAACCTTTGAGTCCTGAATTTTCTTTTCACCTGCCAGTGAATGTGATTTCACATTACCTAACCTCTGCAAAAATATGCTGTTTTGTATTTTTCTATTAACCAGCTTTGGAGGACTGGAGGGTGCAGGGTATTTATCCATTGGTGTTACTGACTAGATAGTATATTATTCCTTACAGCCTCAGTATGCCTGATTTGTACATCAGCTGTGAAGAGGTCAAGTAAATTGTCTACCATTCATTCTGTCTGTAGCTGGCTATAAAATAAAAAGTCTCTAAAGCATGTGTTTGTTCCAAAACCTCATTCCCTCATCACACAAGATCCTAGACATCAAGTCCACAGATTATCTTCTCCTCCTCCACCCTCGCAATCAATTTCACATTCATGGATTTTGTCTATGCCTGCAAATCTCTATAACAATGGCTCTAGTGGTCCCTGATCTAAGAGGAGATCATGTGTGACCCATGGATATTATGAAAACAATTGAAGCTTGAACATGATGAAAAAAAGAAGCTCAAAAATGAGGTAAGTAAGGAAAGTGGTACTAGAAGAAAATCTCAGCAACAGCCCGTACAATGAATTATATATCCATTTCAGAATGCCTTGTGCAAACTTGGTAGCAAAGAACAGCTGCTAAGTTTTACCCATCTAAGGTATAGTTTGCAAAAGTAATTCGTTACGTGAAGCACTTTATGATATTTAGATCAGATGAGATTCTGTATAAATTTAGATATTTCCTGTGTTCGTAAAATCATAATGTTGAGTAGGCATATAAACTTCAAATGAATTATTCAATCAACAATCAGCAAAGTTTACTGGGTATCTACATTTCATACTCTGCTTGGATAGCAGGAACAGTTACTCGTGAACTTTTGTCTTATTTCTGGCTGGAGAATTGTTTTCTCTTTTCTCTCTTTGAAATTTTGTAATCCCAATTAAGCAACTTGCTTCCAAACATTAATTGTCATGCATTTTTTCTAATTTGCCTTTCAAACAACTGTGCTCCACCAAAAGATTCACTCAGCAAGTATGTCTATAACTCAATGCTAATCCTGGATCATCACTTTTGCATCTCCGAGGCAAACTCAATCCTGCAATTGGCAAGTGTTCAAAAAACCTTTTTATAGAATTGCACCCTGTGACAGCCCTTGTGCTGCAGAGCAAATCAAACTTGCAGGTCAGCTGATTTTGTATAGTTTCATCATAATAGCCAATTGCATTATCTCCTTGATTGTATGATCTCTCCCTCCCACTCTCTCTCATCACTCATCTCTCTTCCCTCTTCCTCCTCCACCCCCCCCCCCCCCCCCCCCCACAAAAAAAATGGTCAGTTGTTTTGTGCTAGTTTGTAGTAGGTCCATTGCATGAAACTGCTTTTGACTCGGCACTGACTGGCATAGGCTGAACAATCCTCATCAAATGTATTAAAAAAAAAAGCATTACCCCCAGCTGAGTTGTTCTAACACAGCATTGGACAACATCATCTAAAGTCAGTCCCAAGTATGAAAAGGTGCTAACTTAGATGCAACATAAAGATGTCAAAAAGTTTCACCATTTTAAAGATATTAAGATGCTTGCAGCAGCACAGAAATTATGTGCATTTCATTAATATTCCAAGTGGTTTCTGATTTTGCATTATATTGTACTGAAACTTATCCCAAAAGGTTTGCTTCAGCAATGACCAACTAGATTGTTCGGGTCAGTGTTAATTAAAATTGTAACACACCTTTCTTTATATGAGCTTGTATTGCCAGACAGTTCTTGCTTGGGACACTAGCAAAAATGTTAACTGGCGAAGATATTCAAATATTTTTGTGTACCGATTGTTTCCAAGAAAATGTGAAAATAATAAAGCAGCAGCATTTGCCCCCCTCGTTTCACTTCAGACTCAATTTTTTTCATTCTTTAAAAGTAGTCTCCTTCAAAACAAGACTTGCCTTGTGAGGTATCTCTGTTTTGTACTGTTTTGAGCTTAATATAACCAAGGAACCTTTTGTAAAGGAAGAGAAGATAAAAGAATTATGAATTTGACCTCAAATTCATATTCCCCCTGTGGGAGAATCAAAGACCACACAGCATAATCTGAGGAGAGGGGTCCTCTGTTTAAGTAAAAGATGAGAAATTTCTTATGGAATGTCTTATGGAGTTGAAACATTGTGTGTAAACTATACATGTTTTTAATATATATAATATATATACAAATCATTTTGGGCGAAACATTGGCAAATGAAATAGTGTGGAGAAATGCAAATGTATCCACTTCAGTAGGAAAAACAAAAACAGTGTATTGTATAAATGATGAGAGGTGGAGTATTTTGCATAGTTTATCTCCCTTGTCTGCAGAAAAGTATACTTGCCATAGAGAGAGGGCAATGAAAGTTCAACCAACTGATTACTAGGAATGAGGGATTGTCCTATGAAGAATGAAGAAATGCACAGGGCTTTTTATTGTTTGGAGTTTAGAAAAATGAGAACTGATCTCGTTCAAATATACAAAATTCTTAGTAGTGCTTGATGAGGTAAAACACGCCTGACCGGGTAGGATTCCTGAAACCAGGAGACAGTTTCAGAATGATGGCTTTTTCAGTTGAGGCAAGGAGACGTTTCACTTGGAGGGTAGTGAATCTTTAAAATTGTCTCTCCGAAGGCTGTAGATTTTCAGTTGTTGAGTTTAAGACAGACTGACAGATTTCCCAGCAGGAATGGTGTAAGAAAGGAGGAAGCAGCCTTAATTTAATTGAATGGTGGCATGGGCTTAAAGGGCTGAATGGCCTACTCCTGTTCCTAATTTTTATTATCTGATGTAAATCTTAATTGACGTGGTGGGTG